AAAACCCATATTGCTGGCAATATTCTTTAGATTCCATATAGAAAGTGATATTGGAAAACTGATTACTCCTAGATTACCTACTGGCAGAATAGGGTGGAGTATACACAATGATTAGTAAGACCTGCTTAACCTTAACTTATATTAAGAACTGTAAGCTTGTGGAACAAATGTCGAAAGAATTTAAGATCAATCCAGTTGGTTCTGTGATATGGGTAAAGGAAGTCTCTCAGCTTCCACCATCTGGGTAGCAGCAAAAAGTACACTTCCTTTATGGCCCTGTATACTCATCCAAACTGTCAAATGTGTCTCTTCTGGAATTCAATGGTTTCATGAAAAAATTGACAGTCAGGGAGTCTAGCCATTACCAAAGCCTGATAGTAAAGATCTACTCCACCAGTGGAAACTATAGACCAGTTTGTAAGGAATTTTAAGGAATTTTTGATCCCTACCTATGCAAGGATGAGCCCTGAAAAAGTATGAAGTTACCAAAGATGGACCTTTCTCTCTCAATGTCTCATAAAGATTAAGGGATTAAAATAGCTGAGGAAACAATGCGAGCAGGAAGATAGCCAGTGAGGAAGATGCTCCACTCTTCCCTGGAGTATCAGTTACGTCTCAGCACTATATGTGCTGTGCCAATCCCAATGCTATATGTGCAGCAGGAAACCACAGCATCCATGGCTTTGATACTTACAACTGGTCCTAGCTAAGAGTAAGCAAGATAGCTGTCAATTGTGTCCTGAAATCACCATCGACAAATTACAAGGCCATTATAACAAGATTCTATTGAAGGACACTCCCACTCTCATCGTGCCTCTGATGTCATGACATTTCTGAAATTTCCAAAAATGGGTAATGAAAAGTGAGCAGTACTCATGCCTCATCAAAAATGCCATGCCCTGTGAATATTGTTAAGTTCCACCCCAGAAACCAGGCTCCATGCCTCCAGATCATACAGAGATGGACTCACACTTTGAGTGCAGCTGTTTCTTGAGCATGTCTGCACCTCCTTCTTGAGTGTGTACTTTCTCTTTGCGTGTAAATAAATTTGGCCTATATCAGTGTCTCAACGTCGAATTCCCTCTTGTAATGTAGACAAGAATCTGGAACTAGCTTCCCCACAACAAATCCACTAGGAAGACATGCATCTATGTGGAGAATCTGGGTTTGGGTCCCTGCTCTGCTCCCAATTACAGCTTCCTGCCAATATGAATCATTGGAGGAACCTGTGATGGTTCAAGTGGTTGACTCCCTCTCATCCACAGAGGATACAGAGTTTCAGTTTCAAGCTCCTGGCTTCCACCAGGTCCAGACCTGATGGTGGGGAATATTTGAGAAATTACCCAGCAGACTGAGAACTCTGTCTTTTTCTCTGCTTCCATCTGTTTTTCTATATCTCTGCCTCTCAAATAAATAAGGAAACTGGTTTACAGTTTTTTCAGAAGCTTGACTTTCTATGCCACATATTAGTATAAATGCTTCTTTTTCTTATATTCTTATGCACAGGAATCCCTTTATGCCATTTTTAGATATTTTAAACAGTAACTTTACTCAAAATAGCAGAGATTAAGCAAAGAACAACAAATGGCAGTAATTCAAGTAGGTTTGATTCCATGTGGGCCATCTTAGGAACCTGCTGTTGATGTGATTGGTCTCCATTTGACATTATGTTACCCTCTGTGGCTGTGCCTGTGAGGTGGAATCGAGCCACCTATGGAAAAGATGTATCACAAAAGAAGGGTACTGCAAGGATGCTTTTCCCTTGATAAGGCTGAATAAACTTATGTTCCTGTGTTTTGAATGTGATCTACCACGTGAGATCAAATGTGGAATTTTCCATTTATGGATCATGTTCACACTCAGGAAGATTCTGACTTCAGGGCATTTCAGATTTCAAGCTTTCATTTAAAAATACTGAATTATAGAGATGATCTTGAAGTTTGCACACAAATATTTATTCTGCCTTATGTTCTTTTTTCCCACTGGCATGTTCTTGTTACCTGCCTGAAGCAGTAATGTTAATATTTGAGTGCTGACCTATTAGCAATGATTTTTCTGTAAAAAGCATAGTTTGGGCCTCCTTGTTCTTTTTGTTTTTCTTATTTTTAAAGATTTAATTATTCACTTTGAAAGTCAAAGTTACAGAGGGGTTAAGAGCAGAGAGAGAGAAAGAGAATGAATCTTTCATCACCTGGTTCACTCCCCAGACAGCTACAACAGCCAGCACTGGGCCAGGACAAAGCCAAGAACCAGGAATTTCATCCTGGTCACTCACATGGGTGGCATGCTAATTAGAGTGGGACTTTTTTTTATTATTATTTTTTCTACTTTCAATCATTTTTTAGGTAACTGTTAACTTCTGTTTTACATCTCTGCGCTTGCTGTTTTCTCTTTATCACTGGCCATAATTTATTGCTTTGTGTGGCTTTTTTATTACATGCTATAAGTTATATATAATGTTGAAATCTCAAAGAGGAATAACTTGTATTTGAGGAAAATTTATGTTCTATTTGGAAATATATACTGAGTGTATAAAAACTTCAACAAAACTGGGATTGAATTAGGTAAGAAAATAGTGTAGTTTCATGAAGACTCAGAAACATTAGGTAATTTCTATTGAAATCCTCGTTTCTCTATTTTCTCACCTTTGAAAGGCAATGAGTAACAGTTTTGATGCTCACAGTTTCAGACAGCAGTGCTATAGCATATATTACAAGCTCTTCAAAAACCAGGCAAATTTTTTTTAAAAAGTATTTTTTTTATTTTTTACGTTTTATTTAATAAATATAAATTTCCAAAGTACAGTTTATGGATTACAATGGCCCCCCCATAGGAAATCCCCTGCCACATTATCTTCACTTTTTAAGTACAAAAGAATTACAGATATTTCTGCCTTAAGAAGCTCTACCCTTTCTCCTTAACATTCCACAAATAACCCAAAATTAGCAAATGTGCCATATGGGAAACTAATGACATGACATAATTCTCATGTTTCTTTTTATGCAAATACTCTAACTGGATTGGCTATGTTTGATTTTTAAAAAAAGATTTATTTATTTATTTGAGAGGTAGAGTTACAGACAGAGCAGAAAAGGGAGAAACAGAGAGAAAGGTCCTCCATCCACTGGTTCACTCCCCAATGGCTGCAATGGCCAGAGGTGGGCCATTCTGAAGTCAGGGGCCAGGAGCTTCTTTCAGGTCTCCCACGTGGGTACAGGCTCGGAAGACTTGGGTCATCCTCTACTGCTTTCTCAGGCCACAACGAGGAGCTGGATCAGAAGTGGGGCAAAAACTGGCACCATATAGGATACTGCCACCACAGGTGGAGGCTTAGCCTACTACGCACAGTGCTACCCCCATGCTTGATTCTTAATTTACGTTCAGAATGTTCAAGTGTTCTGGGGGGAGCATTGCTGACCATTCACAAATGTTTTATTTATTCCAAAATTTTGTGTTAATTACTTCCATAAGTCTCTGGTGCATAAACAATATATATTATTAAATATAAATAAATATAAATAATATAAATAAATATAAATAATAAATATAAACAATATATATTATTAAATATGGCAGGGCTGGTGCTGGTGGCGTAGCAGGTAAAGCTGCTGCCTGGCATGCCAGCATCCCCTATGGGAGCCGGTTCGACATTTGGCTGCTCCACTTCTTCTTCTTCTTCTTTTTTTTTTGACAGGCAGAGTGGACAGTGAGAGAGAGAGACAGAGAGAAAGGTCTTCCTTTGCCATTGGTTCACCCTCCAATGGCCACCGTGGTTGCTCCACTTCTAATCCAGCTCTCTGCTATGGCCTGGGAAAGGCTCAATTCCTTGGGCCCCTGCACCCACCTGGAGGAAGCACCTGACTCCTAACTTCGGATCGGCTCAGCTCTGGCCGTTGAGACCAATCGGGGAGTGAACTGGTGGATGGAAGATCTCTCCTTCTCCGACTCTCCTATCTCTGCATAACTCTGACTTTCAAATAAATAAATCTTTAAAAAATATGGGATTATATAGCTTTTTTAAAAGAAATATCACTTGCCTTCTCACTCTTACTATAGTTACCTAAAATTATAACATCTACCTTCTTTATCTCATTTTATAACAAAAGGAACCCAGATGACACCTCATCACACCTCATTGTGAAGTCAACTGGTCAAAGGTTTAAGTAATTTCCCAAAGTTTGTGAAAGGCACTGGAAAGGAAAAAAAAAAAAAAAAACAAACCTAAAAATAAATCAATAAGTGTGGCTCCTCACTCTTGCTTTGTCCATTAATCCAAAATTAATATTATAATAGAGTTGAGTCAGAAAAAAGAAAACACATCAGTGATTTTTTTTTTTTTTGGCATAGAACCAAATATAAGGAATTGGGTAACACTATTGAAAACAGAACTAGTTAATTGAGCCATTAGACTACTAGCTTGTTATTAAGTCAGAAGGCCCTACTGAAAAAGTGGTTTACATGGTACTAAGAAAAAATGAAGGAAGTTGTAGTTCATTGAAGTTAGAAGACTATAGAACTGACACCCTGGATCTGAGATTCAGAACTCCAATGTAGGGATTACTAAGCAGGCACTGGAAATTTGGAGTATGGGTAAAGAACTCAAAGATCTGGAGCTCAGAATTCAAAATGGATTGGACCAGACAGCTATGCTGGTATCTCTGGGACTGACACTGAAGTTGGTCTGCAGTGAATTGAGGAAAAAAGAGAAGGTGGATTAAAATTATGAATCATATCCAATATGAAATCTTCAGGAAGCACTGACATACATAGGAAGAGAATGTTGCTTGGATTTCTAATTTCTTGTTCATTATCCTTGCTACAGAACCCTATAGGGAGACAGCTGGTACAGCAGAAATTTGGTTCCCCATAACGTAAAGTTCTCGAAGAGGCAGCGCTATAAACCAGGTACACCACCGATGTGTCCTAAGTTTTTCTAAGAAATATAAGGAAGCAAACTTCCAGACAATACCTTTAAATTATTTAAAATAAGGAAGATTAAGTAGAATCACACTAGGAATTAATCTTTTTAATGCTAAGGCTTTATGCTTCCAGTTGGAGTTTTTACTGATGCTTTTGGTGTTACAGGGGCACTCTCAGGTTTTTTCTTTCCTTTTTTTCCTTTGTTCCTTTTCATACAAAGACAACAAAGGCAACATAAGAAAATAATCAAAAGAACAACCAAAATTAAGCACAGATAACAAAACTTCTTCTCTTTCTTTCTTCTTGGGGGTGGACCACTGTCAATACTACCTCCATATCCTTTTATCAGGCAGTTGGGTGGATCCCACAAATAGTTGCAATGGCAGTGATGTTTATTGTTGCAGATGCCCCTCTCATTACAGAATGCAGGTGAGCAATTACTATCCAGGATGGATATGTGGACACACTGCCTGTGGACACAGAGATGCTCTGGACCACACTCTGTGCCATCCTTCACTTCACCGATATCAGGTGTATTCATTCCATAATGATAGTCAGTACTCCAGCAGGTTACTTCATTGAAGTGAGTCCAATGCACAGTAGTATGATCACTCAACTGTGGAATTTCTGGCACATTCTCACACTGAATTCTTCCACACAAAACATCTGAAGTATTGCATTTTTTATATGTAACACCCTTGATACCACAGTGTCCAAAACGGTTTCCTTTGATGTTCACTTCTTTGTAACATGTCAGATTTGCATTTTTTGCCTCCTCTCCAAAAATACTCTTACACTGTAAAGTGCGGTCACTACATCTTTTTTCATAGCAATACGATGTGACATTACAGGGAATTCCATCTTCCACATACACATCATCTGGGCACTTATGAGACGTTCCATTACACCACTCTGGAAGATCACATAGATTGGTCTCCTTTCGACACACAGACCCTAATGGTAAGAACTGGCAGTTTTTGCAACAAAGTCCAGAAGCACAACTAGACCCTTGAGTTAAAGTACAATTTGGCATGCAACAGGGATCCTTTGCACAACGCTGTAAAGTTCCACAGTCACATTGCTCTTGTTCTTCAATAGCACCATTCCCACAACGTGTCCAGTTAAAGATATCTGTTGTATATTCATGTTCCAGCAAGCACGTTGTCCTTTCTGCAGTGTAATACCAAAATTGAGTATAACTGCAATTGCTAAATTTAGGTGTTGGTGGGTTATCAAAATGCATTATACATTTAGGCTTCCCACATACACATGTTGCATAATTATCATGGGTCATGCCGAAACTGTGACCTATGTGGTGAGCCATTGCAATTGCACAATGTGACAAGCTTCTTTCAAAGAAAGTAACAACTCCACAACTCTTATATGGTACACATATTCCTCCAACTAAACCTAGACCACTTAATCCTCTTAAATTTTTGTTTATGAAAAGCATTGCAAAATCGTGTTTTTTCCGGTAATATATATTTAGATGTTTCCAATTACAAAAAGTGTTAACGGAATTTCTTACATCATCAACTTCAATCATATTCTCGTTACTCCAGATCTCCATGGAAAACAGCATCAACTTAATGCCAAATACATCATAAATGGAATCTGCTACATTGGAAACAACATATAGATCATCCAGCAACTTTGAGTCATTCCTTTCATAATGAGTGTATAGAGAATTATCGATCACCAATACAATTTCAACTATCCTAAAGTGGACCCACCAGCCCACATAAGCACTTTGCTCCAGAGTGGAATGATCAATATCTTGACCTATTATTTCATCTGGTATAATGCCAGATCTCATTGTACGGGATTGTGTTTCCTCACTTTCCATCTTATATACCAGATGTTCAAATGTGGTAGAAAATGCTATGGGCATAATTTCATAAGCCATGTTGTTTATGTATAACATTCCTTTAAAGCCTCCAAAGCAGGTACTGAGAGCAACCAGGGATTCTGGATCCCCCTCCACAAAACCGTGATAATAGCAGTCCTTGTGCACAAAAGGCTGGTCCTCTAAGAGAGCACCCTGGTCTGTATAGGTGAACACTGAGAGGTGTTTGGACAGCAAAAACTTCTTAACCTTCATGTGGACAATGTATCTTTGGCCCCCAAAGCGCAGGCTATAGGAGAGCCTGCCTAGAGACTTTTTGCCTCTGGTACTGCCAGTTACTTTGAAAGGAATGACCACCTCTGGGAGGTTGTGATTTGGGGGCTGCTCCGCCTGGGTGTGTCCAGAAAAGGACAGAATCACCCCAAGCCAGTTTAGCAGGAGTAGGAACCTCATGTAAAAGAGGGCTTCATTCAAAGTCATTATAAAGCTATAGCTATAAAAACATTGGTCCAGAGCAGAAGTCAGGAATGGGTACCACAGGAAGTCTACCTCCTTCTTCTGAATTGGTCAGTGTGCAGTGTTCATCTTTAAGGATTTGTCTTGTGGCAATGTTGAATCATCAGAGATGCAGCCCTATAAGTAAAATAAAAAGCAACATATGGAGGGTGGTGATTATGAGAGTGCACAATTAGGTAATAGAAAAAGGTATGGTATAAAAATGACTAGTGCTTTTTATAAAGGATGATTCAAGAAACTGCTTGGAATTTTCTTGTAAATATTAATTTGGAATAATGATTCAGGAAGAGGATAAAGATAAAATTGGCCACAGATAGATGGACACTGAATGTGGATGGCAGAAAATGAGTTAATTTTAATTTTCTGTAAATATATATATGAATATTTGTGAACATTTCCACAACAAATGATTTAAAGACTGTGACGTGCAATCTGTTTATATATCTTGTGTTGCTGAGAGCTACAATTTTTACGTATTAAATTGATGTTAAATATCAATAGCGTTTCTTTCCAACTTCATACAATAGCATTATTGGTAATACATTGGTAATACAAAGACATTTTTAATAAGCCAAATTCATGTTATTTTTCATTTTATAGTAATTACTATATACATCCTTATGACAAAATATGTTTTAATTTACTTTTCATTTCCCTTTCTCTCCTCAAGAGTCATGTAAGTGAGATATGCAGATTCATTCATTCCTTCTATAAATATTATTTTCGTATAATGTCTTGCTTAACTCTGTTTTAATGATTTATTTAATATTTACTTTTATTAAAAGCAGAGTGACATAGAGGGAAAGAGACAGAGAGACACTGAGACAAATGTCTTATTTCTGCTGGTTCACTGGAGCAATGAATTCCATTCTGGTTCCAAATTGTGTGATAATGCCCTAGTACATCAGCTATCTTCTACTGCCTTCCCAGGAGCATTCCCAGATGTGCAACTGTAAGTAGAGTAGCAGCTTTAATTGGCATTCTATAAAGAGTACAAGCATTTGCAAGAATTGGCCTAACCTGCTGTGCCATGGCACTGGCCAAAATTTGTTGTATAATGAATAATGGGCTACTTGGTAACAATTGTCTCTTGTAGTGATATAAGTATTATTTTAAAGCTGTTTACATTTGGTTAAAATGTTTTAAAGATTTATTTATTTATTTGAAAGTCAGAGTTACACAAAGAGGGAAGGAGAAGCAGAGAGAGAGAGAGAGAGAGAGAGAGAGAGAGGTCTTCCATTCAATGGTTCACTCTCCAATTGGCTGCAATGGCCAGAATTGAGCTGATCCGAAGCCAGGAGCCAGGAGCTTCCTCCATGTCTCCCACGTGGGTACAGGGGCCCAATGACCTGGGCCATCTTCCACTGCTTTCTCAGGCCATAGCAGAGAGCTGGATCGGAAGTGGACTCAAACCAATGCCCATATGGGATGCCGGCCCTTCAGGCCAGGGCATTAACCCATTGCACCACAGGGCCGGTCCCTTGGTTAAATTTTTTAAGATGGGTATTTTCAACATTTGTAATAAATTCACATACAACAATAAAGTAGTACAGATGCAGTTTTCTCTCATCTTTCTCTCTAAGTACAACTTAATATCCTGGGAACAAGTCAATGGGAAACAACAAAGATGGTGAAAGTGAAACAGAGAAAGAGAAATTGACTAATGATCATTAGATTTGAAGAATACCATCAAGGGTTAATTATCTGAATAATCTTTGACTGTCTGAGGTATTTATCAAACTGAGTGTTGGGCAGCTCTTTAAATCAGAATCTCTAACAGGGATAGCCAAAAAACAAACTGGAGAAAATTTCCATTTGATATCCAAATGATTGAGAATGAAAAAGTTCAACAAAGACCCAGTGAGTGCTCCAGAATTTTCTCTATAATCAGGACACAGGTGTGTTGATTAACCTAGAGTGGCTATATCAGATATTTGGCAGGTTCAGACAAAATACACTTTACATCCTGTGCATGAATGCTAGACTGTCCATTCTGCCCACATTACAACACCATAACACTGATTGGTAATCCTTTCATTCAGTAATAGAGTAACTAGCTAACAGAAGTGCCTTTAGAAGCAGTAATGAAACCCCAGCTCAGTGACTCAATTGTGCTGCACAATTATATTGTAAATGGCACCAACAATTAAGACATAATCCCTTAAGAGCCAATATAACAAAGTAAATTAGAATAAAATTGAAAATGTTCTCAAAATTAGAGTTTATAGGAACTCATCCCACAAAATCAGGTCAGAACTTACATACTAAACATCAAAAAAGATAGTTGTCTGCTAGTAGAGAAGATTTAATAGAATTAAGAATCTCCTGCAGAGTGATGTCAGCAAGACAGAAGATTATGAACTCCTGCACTTCTTTTGATTGGCCTGCATTATTCGGACAACAATTTTGTGGAAAAATTCCCTGTGTGACAAATAATTCTGATGCTAACATAAAATCTCCTGCACTCTGGGAAAATGCAAAATCAGAAATTTTTGGAAGATTAAGCACAATTTTTCTGTTAAATACACTATTGAACATTATTATTCAGGAAGAAATCTTTGGGCTTTTAGTTTCATCCAGAGTTGGAATTGTTGGATTCTGTGTCAGTCTCCAAATCTTCTGAAGGAGGCTTTATGAAGGAATAGCTTATCTTTTGGCAGTCTTGGAATGCTGAATATTCTCCTACAGTCAAGTCATTCAGCAAGAAAGGAGATGGCAGCTTGAGATTTTAGATGGCATAGATTGTGATCCTCCTTAGCGGAAAGCAAGCAGATGCAAAATCCCAGTTTTTAGGTTTCTGTATGTCTGACTCCCCAATTTCTGCAATGATACCCAGAGAACTAGTCATCATCTACCTAGCTTTAGAATGCAGAAAGGTCCATTACAGTCTAGCCCTTGTGGGAGAATGGAGACAAGCTTAGACGGGTCGGCATCTCAGATACTCCCTTACTTTCTGCACAGAGACAAAAATCTCAAATCTAGGCTTTATTCTAGGTACAGGAAAAGTTGGTAGAAGCATCCAATGCTCAACTTTTCCAGGGCTGTCCAATGAATAGGCTTCTGACTAGCCAGTATTCGACCTCTGATTATGTCTGGCACAGTCTATCCTTCTGTAGAAGGTCAATTAGGGGAGAAGAAAGAAAAAGAGAAGAAATAAAGGCAGACAAAGCTCAAAAAACTTATGTGAAACCATCAAGGAAACCAATAATGCATTATAGAAGAATATATATTTTAAAATATATAAAAAGAAAGTACAAAATTATTTGTTGTAGTAAAGTACCGTTAAAAGAGGCATACATACCAGTAAAGACCTACATTAAAAAAGAAGAAAAAGCTCAGAAAAAAAACTAACCTTAGGGACTAGCAACAACAAATAAAAGGCAATAACAAAGTAAAATCAGGGACAGAAAGAAGCAAATAACCAATATTAGAACAGATGTAAATAAAGTACAAAATTTTTAAAAGAATAAAATCACCAAAATTTTCTTTGTAAAAAGATTTTAAAAATAGATGAAATTTTGGAATCAGAAAAAAGTGTAGACTAAATAATAACAGAAATGAGAGAGGAGACAATACCGCCAATGGCACAGAAATAAAAAGAATTATTAGTGAATAATATGTCTTTTTTTCGTGGAGCATTTTGGATACAACAAAGATTTTAATACTGCCATACCACCTCTGTTTTTCTTACAGACTTTGTATTTGTTTTCTATAGCTGCTGTAACAAATTACCCAAATCTCCATTTCTTTAAAGCAACACACAGTCACTATCATAGAGCTCTATTTCTGTTACAAGACTAGGTCTCACTGGGTAAAAGGAAATTGTCAGCATGATTGCATTCCTTTCTATCAGTTCTTTTCCTTTCCAGCTTCCAGAAGCTACTCATACTCTATGGCTCATAACCCCATTCCTCCATTATTAAGGGTTCTAACAGACAGCAGGTTGAATCTTTCTCCTATCACTTCATTCTGTCTGCCTCTTTTGCCTCCCTCTTTAACATAGAAGGATCTTTGTCATCACATTGGCTTCATAGACAGGGTAACCTCCCAATGATAAGGTCAGCTGATTAGTAAACTTGATTGGATCTGCAACATTAACATGCCTTCCTACATAAATTAGCATATTTGCAGGCTTCTAGGTGTCAGAACAGAAATATTTCTGGAGCACAATTATTTTATTTATTGTATGCTTTCCCTCATAAACCCTTTACTCTGTACCCATTCTTCTTTGTGAATTTTTCTTGCAGGAATATATTTCCATCTTGTACCAATCAAATTGTAATAATGAAATTGGTATCAATTACAGTTCGTAAGAGCATACTAAGACAGGTGCTTTTTGTAATACAGCATATAGAGGGACAAGGAAAGCCCCATATTGCAGAGAAAAGATGATAATACGGTGATGATCCAGTTTCCTTTGATGAAATGATTCTAAAGTAATATTCAGTGAGTTTTCTAAATATTTACAGGAAAGAAACTTGGTTGTAGCATTACTGATAATATTGAAAAAAGTGGAAAAATTCCTAATGTTGAGGAAATGGACAAATAAATCATGTTTTTTTAGTTTAAGTGAAATAGTATGCACTTATGATAAATTATATTTTAAAGGATGTTTACTGATACATCAAAATATTTGGGATTTATCTCCAAATATGAAAACATGATAAAAAAAACACTACTATTACAATTTTAAAAAATGTTGTTTGGAGATGGAAACATTAGTTACCCTAATTTGTATATGTATAATATGTATAGGTATATATACATATATATATATCTCTGTGTGTATCAAATTTCAACACTTTTCACAGAAATATATACAACTCTTATGTTTAATAAAAAAATGAAAAAGCATTAAGGATTTGGAATGCTAGCTACCCTGATTTGATTATTATACAGTGTATGCATCATTAAATTATCAGACTGTACTTCACACTATGTATAATGGTACCTCACAAACATGTATAATTGAAAGTATTTACTTCAAAAACTGATGTTTGTATGACATCATTGTACATAGACCCATACTACAAATAATTCAATATTTTACTAATTTATTTTTGCAAAGTTAATTCTAAAGTGCACACAAATGTTAGTGTTTGTTTCTCCTGGAATTG